TGTCTTTCTATAGGAACTTCCTGAAGGATTTGAGTAAGAGAGTTATGCGACAGATTTGTTTTTCCTTGTCGACTATGTGGTACACAAAATAAGATTGTCTCCCCCACCCCTGTATAATAATTATTTTATCTACTCATCCACTTCCTCCAATCTATACCAAGATATAAATTTTACATGTGATTATCACCCGTCAAAGGATGCATATGCCGAGCTGTCAATTATGTTAAGAGAGTAACCAAATATTGCTTTGGAACATATTGTTGTGTCACGATAGCAAAGTTATAATTTTGGATCTTGTAGGGTTTGATACCAACTCATATGTTAAGTAGCTTAGAACCTTCAGAAATGTGCTTTTGGGAATTAAATACATGTTTTATCTGTGAATCTGAATAAAGATTTTCAGATATCTTTGTAACTTCTTTCCTTCTAGCAATCAATTATTTTCCCCCAGAAACTTCTTTTCACTCAGGGAAGCTCTTCAGTTTTATAGTTTTACTTTTACAATTTTCCTCTTGTGCCTTTTGCAATGACCCTGATTTTTGTATTCAGAGTTAGCATTTCTTAAAGTCAAACGAAAAATGCACACTCTATTTGACCAAAGAAAAACTGCCCTTGATTCTAGCCTCAGATATTTAAATAGCTATTCTTTGGAAACATATTTTTCATGTATGTTAGAAAAATTACATTGATAGAGAAGGGATCACTAAGTCAATGATGGTTGGATGGTTTGTTCGGGATGGGAGATGCGTGCTGAAAGTAGATAAAGGACCAGATGTGATAGCCTCTCAGTAACTATATTGCTAATCATAATGCCCAAAAGTAGAGAAAGAATATGGGGGAAATTGTCTGCCATAGAGGCAAGGGAAGGGTTGAGAGAGTGGGGATAATGGGGACATTGGTGGTGGAAAATGTGCACTGGTGGAGGGATGGGTGTTCGACCATTGCATGATTGAAACTCAAACATAAAAGTTTTGTAACTGCATCTCATAGCGATTCAATAAAAAAATTAAAAAAAAAAAAGAAAAAGGACATTGGATAAGAATCTTTACTCTTGCCCAATAAGAAAATGTGAAGGATCTATGCTTAAATATGCAAACCTTTGGGGAACTCATGGTTGAATCCTTGGAAAAGGAAGCATCTAGGGTGAGAACAAAAGAGATCTGTGGGGGAGAAGCCAAAAATACTGAGGGAAAGAGGAAAGAGCAGGGACAACAGATCCACAGTCAACAGAGAGCAGGAGAAGATCAATTGTACTGTGCTTGGTGAGAATCTACTTCATTTCTCCTGGGTAGTTGTGACTGATGCAAAATGCTGGTGGAAGGAACTGACTTGTGCTCTTGTGAAATGCTGTGAACTAAGTGCGGTCATTGTGCCTGGCAGATGAGAGGGTTTGCTGGTGAATCTCTAGTGCTTTGCCTGTCGAAGATTCAACCAGTGCATAAACATGTCAAGACCCAACTATTCTAGTTTGCCTAGACAGAATGATTTCCGGATTACAAGCCTTCGCAGTGTTAAAACAGCTTCCATGGAGGAGCTAGCAAAGGCTAGAGGGCAGGTAGGTAACAGGAGATGCCTGATGATGGGGCAGGTGCAACTTCATCTCTGACTCCAAAATTCCTCTTTGTGTTTCCATGGAACAGACAAATCTAGGAAGTAGCTAAGTGTAGGCCCCAAATAAAAATGTATCTACAACATAGAATCTCTGTGTTCTTGTTGCTTTATTTAAATTTTATACACAGTTAAAATGATTACGGACCTAGGAGAGGCCAAATTAAAAAGCTACGATTGTACTCACAAGTTAGCAGTGCAGATAAGAGTGCTATCTTACTCAACACCAGCATCCTCTGCTGCTATTTCGTACATAGTAGATACAAAAAAGATTTTCCTGAAAATGTGAACAAATTTTGTATATATATATAATATGTATACGTATACATATATATACATTCATAGGGTCTCCAAGCCCATCCAGAGTGACCCCCATGAGCAGAGCCAGGAGTAAGCCCTGAGCACAGCTGGGTGTAATTCAAAAGCCAAAAATAAATACACAAATAAAATACGTCATGGTTTTTAAAAAGTATATGTGCTGTTTCATCATCCTTTGCCAGGCTCTTACAAGCCTGTGTCTCTTTTCATACTCTCCAGGACATTAGACCAAGAGCAAAACCAAATATAGAGAGAATTTGTTGGAACATAATAGGAGCTTAAAAAAAATTGAAATAAGAACTCTAATTCTAAGACTTCTTTATAAATGTCCTCTAAAAATGTTAGTGTCAAAAAGTTTTCCAAATGATTCTTAACATGTTATTTGTTCTCCTGCTAATTGGATTTAGTGGTGAATTTTGCACATTTGATATTAATTTTGCCTGAGAAGTATAATTTTACTTTTGATAATTATACTTTGATATATATTTTTTGTGATAGGCTCCTGTTTCTATAAACTCCAATCCTAGCAATAGAAAATACACATCAGCAGGCCAGGGATATGGTTCAAGTGGTGGTGCCTTGCACATGTGAGATCCTGAGCTTAAGCCTGTTACAGCATGTAGCCCTGAGCATACCCAGGTGACCCCTCATTCCCAACAACTGAAAATATAAAAGTACCGTGGCTGCTTGACTGATCAGTGACTCAGATATGGTTTTAGAATTCTGAGCTAGTTTTAGAACTCAGGAAAATCTGTGTTCAGAATTTCCATCACTTTGTTGTTTATTTTGTTCAATAAGCTCTGGCATAGTTGCATAAAGTATTCTTAAAAAGTATTCTTCAAACTTCCACTCCTACCTGTGTTGCTCTATTTCTTCATGTGAAATGATCTTTATGGGCAGTGGGAAAACTCTGAAGTCTGGGGTGAATGGGAAGTAATGAAAACGTCTCACTGTGGCAACATGCCATTTGCCCCTATAGTAACAATCTACTTCAATGTCTGCTCTTGTGAATCAGCAGCTTTTCTTGGGATGCAAAGAAAAGTCTGACTTGCCTTTGCAAAGAAAAAATGAAATATGAGGAATTTACTTAGCAACACCTTCACATTCACAAAAGGCAACAGAGATTTTGACTGCATCTTATTTAGCAGAGAAAATAGGACTTTGGAATAAGCGAACGTTTTATTTTCTAGGACATAACATGAAAAAGGTGACTACAGATTGCAGGAAAAATGACCTTTAATGCAAATATTTCTAAAGTATTTGACATTTTGCTAACAACGGGGTTCAAATTTTAAATGGTGAAAGTGTCCATAGTGAGTATTTTATTTTAAGAAGGCTTTACTTTAACAGCCTTCAATGTATGCAAAGATGTTCAAAACTATTAGAGAGATGAATCCCAATGAGGCAAATTAGAATAAATTAAAATATTGCTCAACAATTAAATTAACCTTTCAAAATTGCAGAGAAACTATCTAATGTCATACTGTGCTCATGGTGCTTTAATAAAATACTATATACAGCTATATATATATATATATATATATATATATATATTACACCTTCACTAACATTTTCTGGCAGAATTTTCCAGGAAAATTCTGAAATTATTGATTGTCACTTAACTGATTTTTTTCTAATAAAGAGGAAAAGTTCATAATAAACTCATTTGCTTATAATCTGTAATAGATTATCCATATTCCAGTTATTTATTTTGAAATAAAAATTTTAAAAAGTGCACTAGTATTATTAAAAGCTTTATCACTAAAATAGCAAAAGGACACTATACTAGTAATCCAAACCAATTTGGAAAATGGAAAGAAAAAAATGCATATTTTGGATTGTAGCTGAATGAAGTGTTTGGATTTATATGTTGATCATAACTACACCATTAGCACAAAGCATACATACAACTTTCTCTTCGAAATGTTTTTTATCTAAGGTCTGTAAAATGGGCATTTTTTTGTTTTTGCACTATATTAGAGGAGACAGGGCTGGAGCGATAGCACAGCTGGTAGGGTGTTTGCCTTGCACGCAGCTGACCCGAGTTTGACTTTCCATCCCTCTAGGAGAGACCAGCAAGCTACCGAGAGTATCCCACCCACATAGCAGAGCCTGACAAGCTCGTCATGGCATATTTTATATGCCAAAAACAGAAACAATCAGTCTCACAATGGAGACATTACTGGTGCCTGCTCAAGAAAATCGATGAACAATGGGAGTACAGTGTTACAGTGAATTAGGGGAGACTATTACAGGAAATTCTAGCTCTGTACATTGCCAATATTTAGAATCAGAGCTCTCAGAGATATCAGAGCTACTAGAAAGCAACATTTGGAAGTATTTAACAAACTAAGGTGAGGAGAAAGTCAGTTGATTTACAATAGCATTCATCACAATGTTAAAAAAGTTGCCTATATATATATATATATATGCAAATAAGTCACTGATTCTTATTTTAAAGAAAAGAAAATAGAATTAAAGAGCATTTTCTGTGATGGAGACATTGATGTCCACGACTAGAAGCTGTTATTCTTATGTCGGGGTCAGTAAAGTGAGGTACGAAGTTTGACAGTTGGTCCAAGGACATTCCGTGAATAATGTGAAGCTGGAGTGTGACCTTAGTGCTGTCTGACTACAAAACTCATGTTGTTTCAGTCACACTATCCTGCACTCATCATTGTCTGTTCGTCCCTGACCAAGGCTGAAGAGCAGCATCTGAAAAGCACTAAATAGCTTAGAAACTGTCATCATCTTTTTGTCATGATCCATATTCATTCTCCCTTAGCAATGTCTTAATTGTGAGATATAAAACTGTATTATGACAGTGAAAGCAAAAGAAAGAACTTGTTCAGATGATTTTACTGCAGAAGTCCCGGTTTAAAACTGTCATCACATGTGCATACATTGACTATAACCACCCCATCTACTTCTGTTCTTTGATTTTCTCTTTAAGTTCTAGGGATAATATTGTACATTTCCCTGAAATCAAAAATTCAGGTTTTATGTCACCAAAACAAGAAAAAAAGACAACTGTGATATAGAATTCTAGCTTAAATCAAATAAAAGAAATAATAGCGTTCGCTTTGGCAGCACATATACTAAAATTGGAACAATACAGAGAAGATTGGGATGATCCAACACAAGGACGACATGCAAATTTGTGAAATGTTCGTAATTTTTTAAAAACGACAATGAAATCTAGTTAATCCAGACATATATATATATATATATATATATATATTTTTGGGTCACACCCAGCAATACACAGGGGTTACTTCTGGTTCATGCATTTAGGAATTACTCCTAGCAGTGCTCGGAGGAACATATGGGATACTGGGAATCGAACCCCAGTTGTGCAATGCAAATGCCCTAACTGCTGTGCTATTGCTCCAGCCCCAATTCAGACATAATTTTATTCACTTATTTATTAAACCCAGATATAGAGAATCAGAAATTGATGTAATTCAGTAGGGAATTAAAATACATAATCATATAAAAGTGACTTATGTGATAATAAAATAATGGCAAATTAATGTATATATTTTTAGAAGCTGGGAAATGTTGATTTTGCCAAAAGGATCAAGAGATTTTCTACAAATATGTGAGGTATCTGAATCTTTGAGAATCAAAAGCATTTTCTCAAACTGCGAAGTAGGTGCAGAAGATTTTTTTGTTATATGGAATTAAAGGGTGCAAAGGCACAAAGAAATACAAAAACATGAGAATGGCAAAAAAGGCATGAGGAAATAAAAGGATGACATAGAAACATCAAGTTATTCCTATGTTTAGAGAGTACATGATTCACGGTGAGAAAGAAATTTCATTCCAGGAGTTTGGATTTCCTTTAGCTGCAGGAAAACTGAGAATTGAGAATACTGTAATTGTATGATGGACGTGGATGCATTTTATATACCCATACAGATGTTTAGCATGGAATTTAGTTTGATTTATATAATGATATTAGGTAAATTGTTGATTTTTTAAAAAAGTGACTATGTGAAAGTGAAAAAAAAATTCTTTTCTTCTAGTTCTTCCTTGTTTCCAAATCAATCAACCAATAGTTCCCTGATCATCTTTCCTTGACTCTGTTTGCTCTGTTGCTGGCAGAAATAGGAATCAATTCATACAGTGGGTGTACAACCCAAATGTCCAAAGACAGGTGACTGCATGTGGCATGTGTATACTGCATGCAACTATAAGAAATGGATTAATGTACTGTCACTGTCCTGTCCTCCCGTTGTTCATTGATTTGCTCGAGCGGGCCCAGTAATGTCTCCATTGGAGACTTTGTTGTTACTGTGTTTGGCATATCAAATACATCATGGGTAGTTTGCCAGGCTCTGCCGTGCAGGCGAGATATTTTCGGTAGCTTGCCAGACTGTCTGAGAGGGGCGGAGGAATTGAACTCAGGTCGGCCATGTTGGCTGCGTGCAAGGCAAATGCCCTACTGCTGTGTTATCACTCCAGCCCGGATTAATGTACAGTTATAAGAAAAGATGCAATCTTGCAGTTTGCTTCAACTTATGTGGAACTGGAGGGTATTTTGCTAAATAAAGTAAATCAGAGGGAGAAGGACAAAGAACAGATGACCTTGCTTATCTGTGCTGCATAGAGACAGAAAGCAACAGATATCCAGTATTGCACAATGAATATGAAAGCAATGAATAGGCAGGATTATACAATGACAAACCCTTGGCCTTGGATTACAGAACTGGCATTCCCAAGTAGCAAGGGAAAGTGGGGAAGGTAAGAAAATCATGTTCATGCTGAAAAATCCATATTGGGGTCAATGTGATTGTAATACAGCCTTCTGACCAAAGGTATTGAAGATTAAATCTATTTAATATCATCTATAATATGTTATTTCCACTTCTTACTATAAGTTTTAGCCCTAGAAGATATTTTAAATTTCTTAATGACTGCAGGCTATTGAATGTAGCCTTCCCACAGGGCAGAGTCTGGCAAACTCCCCGTGGCGTACCAAATATGCCAAATACCAGTAACAATGATGGGTCTCATTCTCCTAAAGAGCCTTGAATATAATCTCAGGGCTAGGATGAAAGAGACGTTACTGGGGCCTGCTCGAGGCAATTGATGAAAAAAAAAAAAGAAAAAAAATGACTCAAGAAGTGAACAGCTTGATTTTACCTGTGATTTTAAAAAATAATAAAATAAAATCAAATTTTAAAAAAAAGAAGTGACTTGATAGAATATAGGACAGTGGTAACAGGTGGCTGTCACTTGTCGGTGGTGAAAGTCCATATGTATCTAGTCAAACCATCAGTATCAACATTATTGTAATTATTCTGTCTAAACTATAATCCAAAAACTCTGAAAAATAAATCTATAAAACAAAGAAGCAAAAACCAAACAACATGAGAGGGTAATGCTAGTCCTTGCTCTGCGTCTTAACCTGTGATTACAAAACTGAGATTCTCGAGCAGAACAGGAAGAAAGAGGTGAAAAGAAGGCACATAAAGATAGTGGTGAATGGTTTGAGCATTTTAGGGGAGCTGAAAGTGCAATAATTTACATCAAAACCATAAAAGTCAGTGCTATTATGTTTGTGTTATCTAAACAATAGGAGAACTAACTCTAGAACCCTAAGCCCATCAACAAATAGTTAAAAATCTTTGCATTGTAGTTAGCCCTATAAGGAAAATATTACAGAATTATAAATACAAAGTTAAAGTATTTATTAATATTAATAAACTGCACAACCATAAAATTTAGAGAGCTGACTCTTTTAATATCAGAAAAGAACATATTGTTATTAATTGTGTAGTGATATTTATAGAGGGGTCAGAGAGATAACCCAGGATAGGTAAGACACTCACCTTGGATGCTGTGGATCCTGGTTTGATCTCCAATACCTTATGTCCCCCTCAGCACTGACAGGGGTCATTCCTGAGTACTGAAGTGTGTCGCCCTCAAACTCCCCAAAATAACTTAAAAAATTCACATAGAAATAAAGGAAAATCAAACATTTTTAAACAAGTCCAATCTAAGTATATTCCATATTTAGCTTCCACCTTACCCAGATCTCTAACTCACCTGTAGTTACTTCAACATTACAAGACAGAAGACAAAATACCAAGAGAGGAGGAATTAGAGTAAAATAAACTTATGGACCAAGTATTCCACTTTTCAAAATTCCATGAGATGATATGGTTATGATTTCCTTGCTAGGACCCCTCCGAGACTTGAGATTTCAACTTCAGGAGCTTCTCAGTAAATCTTCCTGAGAAGGAAATATAGGCAGCCATTGTCTATGCTGTACATTAGACACTCAGAACATAATTATCTTGTAACTACGATTTTGTGTGTTTTACCAACACTTCCTCATTTCCTGTAATTCTTGTCCTTGCAGGCTATCGAATGTTTGCAGGCTATCGAATGTAGCCTGCCCACAGGGCAGAGTCTGGCAAACTCCCCGTGGCATACCAAATATGCCAAATACCAGTAACAATGATGGGTCTCATTCTCCTAAAGAGCCTTGAATATAATCTCAGGGCTAGGATGAAAGAGACGTTACTGGGGCCTGCTCGAGGCAATCAACGAATCGACGAATAACTTGTCCTTCGAAATCACTGTTTTTCGCCCCCTGCTTCAGTGAGTGTGTTTTTTTTATTATTGTAGTTTAGGTAAGATGGTTATAATAATGTTAAAGTTTGTGAATTTGACATATAAAATTGCTGTAACTTGCCATCTTACAGCACACAGCAACAAAGAAGAAAACCGGCTGAAGGGCCCTACAGCTCCCAGAGAATGAGCCAGGTCCCAGACAGAGCAGATATCACCAGGAGGTCCCAGATGGGGTCGGTTCTGCTGTCCCGCCTTCTCCAGATGGAACCCCAGTGACCATGAGCTCCTACAAGCATAGCTCTGGCATACGGGTACCAGGACATTTTTTCCGAACTGCGCGGCTGCTTATGCGGCCACATGACACCTCCTAATGGAAAGTAAACCATCCAACATTTCTCCCTGAAAATCAGGCTTAACTCTTTTGCAAACCACAACACCCAAAAGGAGAGAGAGAACAAAGGGGAATGCCCTGCCAGAGAGGCAGGGTGGGATGGGGGCATAGGGGGGGTGGGAGGGATACTGTGATCCTTGGTGGTGGGAAATGGGCACTGGTGGAGGGATGAGTATTTAAAAAATAAATTAAAATAAATAAAATAAAATAAATAAAATTACTGTAACTCCCTATCCCCCACCAAAGTGCCTAGGATGCTCCACCACTGTCTCCCTGGCCCCTCTAGTCCAGTCTTCATCCTTCCTTATCTTCTTTCCCCACACTGTTTGGTAATCAGTTTTGTAATTCCAGGCTAAAGATTTGTTATTCTTCAACACACTATTTTCCCCTGGTTTGTCTATGAGCTTGACTGTAAAAAAATATCCTATGGACTGGGGCAATAGTATAGAGAATAGGGCATCTTCTTTGCATGCAGCCAAACTATGTTTGATCCCTAAAACCCCATAAGGTACTCTGAGTGAGCCAGGAGCAACCAGAACAGGAATAAGCCCTGAGCACCAGTGGGTGTGACCCTCAAGCAACAAAAACATAAGCCCCATGTATAATGTGATATAACCAATTTTGTCCTTGTCTTGCATATGAATTTAATATCATAAGAATTTATTGTGGTTCACACTTACATACAGAAAAATTAATAAAGTAATAATTGCATTAAATAAAACAAGTCATGAGGCTGGAGTGATAGCACAGCGGGCAGGGCGTTTGCCTTGCATGCGGCCAACCTGGATTCGATTCCCATCATCCCATATGGTCCCCTGAGCACCGCCAGGGGTAATTTCTAAGTGCAGAGCCAGGAGTAACACCTGTGTATTTCTGGGTGTGACCCAAAAAGCAAAATAAATAAATAAATAAATAAAACAAGTCATGAGATGGACTTAAATATTTAATTCAAGATGAAGAATAATCTAACAGTTTCTGTAATAAAAAAAAGAAATTGATTGGGATATCTAATATATTGCATGGCAGAGCCTGGCAAGCTCCCCGGGGCATATTCCGTAGGCCAAAAACAGTAACAAGTCTCACAGTGGAGACATTACTGGTGCCTGCTTGAGTAAATCGATGAACAATGGGAGGATAGTTCTACAGTGCTAACTAATATATTGGTGAATTATAGGGTTGTGGGTATGAGAATACAATTGTGCAA